ATAATTAAAATTTATAATAAATATTTTATTAATATATAAATTATATTTTAATTACAATTTATAATAAATAAATATTTATGTACATATAAGGAAAAATAACTATTTTGTGATTTTAAATAGTGTTTAATGATAAGTTTTAAGTAGATTGCTTATTTACGGAAAAGTCATCACACAGAATACGCGACAAAGAAAAAACATGAAAGAAAATTATTGTGGGCTGGGCTCAACATTTATTGGGTTTTATGCAAAAAAAGAAACGTAGTACAAACATATTTGGCAGATGATAAACACACATCCACTCTCGTATAAACACACCCCCTTTTTAAAAAAAAATATATAAAATGTCTAAATTACCCTTAAAAAAATGAAATTTCTAAATTTACACCTCCTTCCCTGCACCCCTCCTTCCCTCCGCCCCCGTTCCCTGCACCCCCCTTCCTCGCACCTCTACACCCCACACCTCCCTTCTTTCTAAAGCCTCTTTCCGCTCAATGTCATCAAGTAACTTTCAAGAGTAATATGAATATACTTTTACATAACTTCACATAACGATAGATGATCAATCAATTTCAAATTACAAACACAATTGATCAATCAATTTCAAACACACAAACCCTATAAAGAATCCTAAAAAGAAATGTAAAGATGAGATACAATGTTAACAAAATAGAGAAACAATGAACAATAATAAATTACAAACAATAAGAACAAAAGAATATAGAAGAAGGTGGAGATAGTGAGGATAATTACTTGGCGGAAAAACGCATATGACCTTACACCTTTTCCTTTGACACTAAACCGTGAGCTTACAGTTTATAACAAAATAAAAAAGGAAGAAGATATTACAAAAACTAAAAAGGCTAGAAGAGGAGGTAGAGAGGTCGGATAAGAAAGTGATGAAGAAGAAAAGAAGAAAGGGGTAGAAAAGAAAGAAGATGGGGGGTGCGGGAAAAAGAAAAAAGAAGAGGGGTGTGGGGAAGAGAAAGAATAGGGGGTTCGAGGTGCGGGAAAAAAAAAGAAGAGGAGTGCCAGAAAGAGAAAGAAGAGGGGTGCACAATGTCAGCAGGTGGTCTTGTAAGAGAAAGACTCATACTTGTTCTATGGAAAGAAACACTAGTACAAAAATGACTTTTAAAATCGGGGTTTTAAAATCAGTCATAAGGTAGCCATTTTAAAAGTGACGCGGTGGCCTGTACTGCAACAGAACAGCCCCAGAACGGCCCGTGCTGCAAGCAGAACGACCGCCGTACTGCAAGCAGAACGGTACGGCCCGTTCTGCTTGCAGGGAAGGGGGGTGTAGGGTGAGGGGAAGGGGGGTGCGGGTAGGGGGTGTAAATTTAGGAATTTCATTTTTTTAAGGGTAATTTAGACATTTTATATATTTTTTTTAAAAAAGGGAGTGTGTTTATAGGAGAGTGGAGGTGTGTTTATCATCTGCCAACATATTTTATGTTTAGTTTTTTTGTTAGCACAAATTCTCAAATTAGGGCTAACGAAAAAGTAATAAACTAGTTATTTCCTTAATTAATGTACATAAAGTTTTATTCCAACGAAAGTTAATTGAACACCCACTTAAATGTAACGCCTTAACAGGTTGAAGCACTAAATTTGAATATAAAATTATTACTAAGTGACTAAAATCGCATTTTAGTTATAAAGGATTATAATTGATCTAAAAGTATGATTATTAAGCAAAATACAAATTCTAAAAGTAGAAAAACTGTATATTTTTAATATTCTCATATTTTCAATAATTTATGAGTTATATTATTTGTGAATAAGAACCCTACATCCTCCGAAATTTTAACTGAAAACTCTTTGAAATGATTTTCTTAATTATTTGTCATTGATATTTATAATTTTTTAATTATAAAATAATAATTTAATTAAAAAGAAAAATATTTTTTAATTAGTTGGACGATCATTCGGACTACGTATTCGCACATTCTATCATTTTCCATTATTTATACATCGTTTCTTTTTCACTTTCTCGATCTCTATCATATTAATTATCTTATCTCACATCTTTCACTTCTGTTATATTAAAGAATAAAGATAAACAGACACAAATTTATCATAATAAAAATTTATTAATCACTCATTATCTTGCTCTGTCCCACATCCCTGATCCCAGCTCACTTATTAAACAACAACCAGTATTTTACGCTACCTATATCTAGAAGCCTGATGTTTGTATATATGTGTATACAATTTTATTTAAATCTAAAATATAAACAAAGTGGACTATCCCATTTTTTATTTCAAAATCTACGTAGAAAGAGATATTAATTATTGAAATCCATATTTTGACTAACTCGTGGTCTTCTTTATCTCAAATAATATACCAAGAGGCAAAAGATGAACCTAGAGAAAAATTAAAGTAGGCATAGTGAACTGGTTCAGTATATTAAATTAAGATATGGCCCCCATTCGCATCTATAAATACCATCCCTCACGTAGTCACAAACAGCATCACAAACTAGCCTCTTGTATAGTAATTAAGGTTGCATTAGTCGTTGATCATCATCGTTAATCATGGGTGTTTTCACTTTCGAGGACGAGAATGTCTCCCCAGTGGCACCAGCTAAACTATACAAAGCTGTTGCAAAGGATTCCGACACCATCGTCCCAAAGGTAGTAGAGGCCATTCAGAGTATTGAAATCGTTGAAGGTAATGGAGGCCCCGGAACCATCAAGAAGATCACGGTTGTGGAAGGTAATTAATAATAAAATCATTTAAACCATAAGAAATAACGTTATGTATGTTGAATGAAATTTGGTTATAAGGTATGTGTCATGTGTGTGTTGGTGCACTGTACGTGCAGGTGGAAAAAGCATCTACGTGCTGCACAAAGTTGAAGAAATCGACGAGGAAAACTTGGGATACAAATACAGCATAGTGGGGGGGAGTGGATTAGAGGAGATTTTGGAGAAAGTGACATTCGAAACAAAGTTGTTTCCAGGGCCCAATGGTGGGTCATTGGGGAAGGTGAGTGTGACTTACCACACCAAAGGAGACGCAGCCCCACCGGAAGAGGTTCTTCAGAGCAACAAGGTCAAGGGAATTGCACTTTTCAAGGCTGTTGAAGGCTTCGTTTTGGCAAACCCTGATTACTAGTCACACCCTATTCTTTTCACTTTTATGCCCCTCAATAAGTTTGCCTTCCATTGCCTTGTCACTTTCTCAATCACTCTTCTCTTTCATCAGTGTTGAATGCTATTCGTGTGTATTTCGACTCTACGGCCAATCTTATTTCGCAATAAATAATATTCCCTTCTTTTTACTCGTAATAAAAAAACATTATGTATACCACTTTTTATTATTATTTATCTACATATTGTTTTTCTCTTCACCAGTAATACATAATTTATAAAGAAATGGTTGTTATTTTTTTTATCAAGTATTTCACAATTTTTGTGAATTAATAATTTTATTTTTCATTTTTTTTTATCTATAATAAAGATAGTAAGTGTATGTGATTTTGTTGTTTAATAATGAGAATAAAATTTTAAAAATAAATATTCTCTCTTATTTCTTGAATTCTAATCATTTTTCAATTATTATTAATATCAATGTATAAACTTTGACGTCAAATAATATTTTCACTTCTTTCATGATAATTTAATTTATAACAATATACAAAAGAAATATGATATTTTCACTTCTTTCATGACAATTTAATTTATAATTAAATGGTTCACCGTGAACATGAATTTTTAGCCTTTTAATTTCATCTTTATATCATTATGATGCATATTCTATATGATAACAAAAATTTTGTTCATTTCAGGAAATAACTTTATCACCGATCACCATATGTTGTTGTTGGGAGTCATTTTTTGGCATTTTTTTTTTCTTTTTCTCCTTTCTTCCCAAAGTGAAAGCATATGATTATCTGGTTGTCTCGAAGCTTTAAATAATAATAAATAAATAAAAACTGATTATTTTTCCTTTCTTGCCAGGAACACATATCTGGTGGATTGTTATTGATCATAGCAATCACGATGCCATTGTGAGTGTTGGAGAGAGTAAGGGCTCTACGACGGATATGCTTGAGAGAGCCTCGTTGCTAGTGACCAGGCCTAAGCATGGGACGGATTCGGACGGGTTTGGGTTGAAAATATTCAGCCCAGTCTAAATTGACAAAAAAAAAATCAGCGCATTTTTTAGCAGTTACAATAATTTGGGTTGGTTGGGTCTTAGATCAAACGGGTTAATTTAATTGGGTTCACTTCAGTTGATTTACATTCTTGCAAAACGTAATTTTTTTAAAGTGTTATCAGAAAAGAAATTGACAGAACGATAATCATGTAGACAAGTAGAGACCTAAGAAAGAAAAAATAATTGACTAGAAGATTTTTAAGAGGATACAAAAAAGAGATCGAACGAATCATACTGTCTTCATGGTAGTAGACGGAGAAGAACAAACAATTATGCACGCAAATGATTAACGAACGATGCTAGGATTCATATTTTAGAGAAATCAAAAGTCTCTCGCAGTGCTACGATTTCTACAAGAAAGAACTGAACTAATAATTTTATACATACCTTTTAATTTTTATGTCTGGGTAGTAGGCATGGCAACGGCGGGGCGGGGCGGGTTTTACGTTCCCCGCCCCCATCCCCGCAAATTTAAATCACCCCGCCCCCGCTCCTGATACTCGTCGGGGATAAAATCTAGGTCCCCATCCTCACTCCCGGTGGAGTTCGGGTTTCCCCGCCCCGCCCCCGCCCCGCTTTTATTTTTTTTTCTTCTTTTTTTTTTCTTTTAAATAAATATGAACAATTTAAAAAAAATAAAAGAAAAATAAAATAATATAAATTTTTACATATAAATATTTATAATTTTGGTTTATATATATAAAAATAATTTTTTAATTATATTATTAAGCGGGACGGGGGTGGGGGCGGGTATGGGGACGGGGGCGGGGTGGGTATTAACATCCCCGCCCCCGCCCCCGCCCCCGCCCCTGATTTTATCAATCGGGGAAAACCCGAACCCGAACCCGATAAACATGGGTTTTCCCCATCCAAATCGGGGCGGGTTCGGGCGGGTACCCACGGGGCGGGTTAGATTGCCATGCCTACTCGGTAGAGTTTAGGTACCGACTCGTACAAATATTTTAATCCGAACCTAATTGAAAAAACCCATTCCAAACCAAAGCAACAAACCCAAAGCCTGAAAATCTGAGGACAGATGATAAACACACCTCCACTCTCGTATAAACACACTCCCTTTTTAAAAAAAAATATATAAAATGTCTAAATTACCCTTTAAAAAAATGAAATTCTTTAATTTACACCTCCCTTCCTCGCACCTCCCTTATCCTGTATCTGCATGTAAATTTTAGTCTAGAACGGCACCAGAACGGGCCGTTCTGCAAGAAGAACGGCACCAGAACGGGCCGTTCTGCAAGAAGAACGGCCCGTTCTGCTTTCAGAACGCGGCCCGTTCTGAAATTAGAACGACCCATTCTGAAATCAGTACGGCCCGTTCTGCTATCAGTACGGCCCGTTCTGCTTGCAGTACGGGCCGTTCTGCTTGCAGAACGGGACGTTCTGGGGTCGTTCTGTTGCAGTACAGGCCACCGCGTCACTTTTAAAATGGCTACCTTATGACTGATTTTAAAACCCCGATTTTAAAAGTCATTTTTGTACTAGTGTTTCTTTCCATAGAACAAGTAAGAGTCTTTCTCTTACAAGACCACCTGCTGACATTGCGCACCCCTCTTCTTTCTCTTTGTGGCACTCCTCTTCTTCTTTTTTTTTCCCGCACCTCGCACACCCCTCTTCTTTCTCTTTCTGGCACTCCTCTTCTTCTTCTTCTTACTGTTACGGAAAGTTCTTTCCGGAATTATATAAAAATGTTCCGGAAAATACTTTCCATAATATTAAATTCTTATTCCGGAAAGTATTTTCCGGAAATGTTTTGTTACATAATTCCGGAAAGTACTTTCCATAATATTAAAGTTACTATTACGGAAAGTTCTTTCCGGAATTATATGAACAATAATTTTACTATTCCGGAAAGTACTTTCCGGAATGCTAATGACTGTAAAAGTACTTTCCGGAATGCTAATGATTGTAAAAGAGCCTTTCTTATGCTGGTTATGGTGGGGCTAGTCCTTTTTTTCTATTCAGAATGACTGTAAAAGTATATTACTTAATGACATTGAGCGGAAAGAGACTTTGGGAAGAAGAGGGGTGTGGAGTGTGGGGTGTGGGGAAGGGGGGTGCGGGGAAGGGAGGTGTAAATTTTAGAATTTTATTTTTTTAAAAGGGTAATTTAGACATTATATATATATATTTTTTAAAAAGGGGGTGTGTTTATACGAGAGTGGAGGTGTGTTTATCATCATCCAAATCTGAGATTGACTGTCTAAAGTAAAAAAAAAAATGCATGTGATTATCTTCGATTTCGGTTGGGCCAAAAAATTTTGATCACACCTACTAGTGACAACAATGGTAGTGGAGGGCTCTATGAAAGAGAAAGTGTTGTGTTTAGGATCATGGGTGCTCCATAAGAAAGTGAGGATGAGATTAATCTCAAGGCTAAATTGTGTTTGATTTCACAAAATACTTTTTATTTTCATTTTTAGAAAATAAATTTTATTTTATAATTTTAAAATTTATAAAATATACTTAATTTTATTATTTTCAATAAAAGTTCATAAAATGTTTTTGGTATAAAATTTATAATCAAAATTACTCTCTCAATATGAATTAGAATAATATTTAATTTTGTAAATATTTTACTCTTTTCACTCTATTTTATATTTATACTCATTTAAATACTTTCCTCTCATAATAGGTAAATTTTACTATGTATAAATGTCCTTTCTATTTAATTTTTTTTTTTATCAGATGAATAGTTTATTATCTAACAAATAGTAATTATATATATATATATAACTGATACTACTTATATTAAAATATTGTAATCAAAATTTAATCACACTAAATAATATGAACAACATATATAATTAAAATTCTATAGAATAATTATATCTAATAAATTTTATAATATTATTACATAATACATATGCAAACACCAAATAAAATGTTTCAGCACACAAAAAATAATATAAGACACATAGATTGAATTACATGTATATAAAAAAAAACTAGTCTATTAAATTATGTGTGCAAAACTACAAGCTTAGAAACAAGTTTGTAATTTTTTTTAAGATTATCATCACATGTTACCACGTTTTCAAAAGTGAAGAAAATAGTGAAATTTTCATTTTTTTAATTTTCAGTTTTGGATTTATTTAAAAATATTTTTAAATAAAATATTTTCTAAAATTAAAAATAAATACATTTTTATGCTTATTTTTTTGTTTTCTTAAAAATAAAAATAGAAAACAGTAAAACTAAACAAACCCTAAATGTCCAATTTTTTTTACATATTAGCTAAAAAGACAAAATAAAAAAGCAAATTTTGCAGAAAAGCCCTATATCGCAGTTAAATATTCATTCTATCAATATTAACATCTTATTTTTATTTATTTATTTATTTTATTTTTAATAAAGTAATGGAGTGTCTTTTTCTTATTAATGATAAATAATAAGAATAAAATTTAATATCATATTTAAAAAAATAATAAAATTAACTAAAATAGTTATTTATTCTGTTCACCTGATCAACTTATAGATATAAAACACAAATAACTTTCTTGCATGAGAATATTTTTAAAGAATTTTTTCGACGAGAGAATTTTTAATAATTTTTTTTTAATTTTATATCTAATTCAATTTTTATTTATTATAATTATTTATAAATAAATTTTAATATTCTAAAAATATATTATTAATAAATAAAATAATCTTATACTACAATATAAATTATTAATCATAAATCTAAAATATAATTTATATATTTAAAAATATCTATTTATTTAAATTTTATATATAATTTATATTTTCAAACATAACATTTATTTATATACAAAATTTATTTTAAATTTTAGTTACATAATTTAAAACACTAGTTATGTTATAAATATTAAATACCTTCATGAGATGAAGTTGAATGAAATGAACAAGATTTAAAAGTTAAAACTAATACTACGATAAAAATTTGTTATTTCTATCGTTTACTTTTAATTAAAGCAATTCACATGCCTTATTTGCTAATTTTAATCATACATGATATGTGAAATAAGTGTTTATCTAGTGTTTCAATGTGTATTCTTGCAATATCTTTAGTACCAAATGTTGACTTTAGTAAACTCTTATGGGCATAGATTCGGATGATAATAAAAATGGATTCGAGGACTTAGGTCCGGTCTAGGTTTTAACTTATACGGGGCAAAAAATATATAT